GCCTTTTCATATAAGACACTGTTTACTTCCGGTAAAATACATACTGACGTAAGTAAAGCCAATAAATGAACACTAACTAAGAGACATGATACAATAGCATAAACTGTAAGTATACCATCATGAGAAGGAATATTTAGATATGAATTGATCGAAGATTCAACAAGGAGTATCTAATAAAATCTTTGAAGTCTGAAACAAATAAATTCTAATAATGACACTTACAATAGCAAATCTACTAAGGACAGCTAAAGTCTCACTAACAGTTTCTCTGTTCGATTTAGGATAGAGAAGATTATGTATTCGTTGATCAGTTCTACACGAAATTTTTCCTAAACAAACGTGAATAATTAAAGAAATTTATAATTTTGTAAACGGAAACAAAAAAGAACTACTAATGCAATTAGTCTAATAGATTTTTCTTTTTATTCATGCATCGGATATTTATTCTTCGACAAATTGACTATTCAAAAAAGAGAATACAATGACTTGTTCAATAAAAGAATGTGATCATTAGAAATGACTGAAGATATCAACAACAGAAATAAAAACACATGACTATGTTTCTCAAATTACAGAGGGATAGAGATGTGGCAAGTTTATTGATGCTTCGGGTACTCATGACGTTGAACTTAGATTGAAAATCTCACTTATATTTTCTATTTATGTGTATTTGTTATGGAATTTCATTCTATTTCCAAAAACCGCAGTTGGGATTAGAACAAAAGCAAAAAAAAAACGTGAAAAGCAACCAGATATTGGTCACCAGTATTCGATTCGACATTAAATCAAGAATTTTTGCAATAGAATCCAACGAAAAAATTTCTTAAACTTATTCGACTTGAGAAACTTTCGAGAAAAATAAAAAGTTGAATTTTTGATTAAATGAATACTTCATTTTGTTTAGAATGCGATGTTAATCGCCAATATCCAAGTATGTGCATATTTATAAACAAAAACATCGCAACATCGTATATTTGATGGAATTTATTGAGTTCTATTTGAAGACACCGTTTTTATTGCGAACATTAGCAACATAGACGAATTATATTACATCAGTTCATCATAAATACAGATGGTTTATGAAGGCATTATTATGTTTTGTAGACATTTAACGTTTCTACGAAAATTAGATGATTGAAGAAGTACTTCGTAATCGATCGATATCTAACTAATTAAAGAACTTCTTTTCTAATGATCGATTCTTGTTTGACAAGGCTTTTCTTTACCATGCTTCTACACAAATTTTTGAGTTATCCAGTCTCACAAAGATTTTGTCTATCCAGAGCACTCAGTGTTGTTTAAGAATAGGAATACTGCGATGTCAAATACTATTGATCGTTTTGTTTACAATGATAGGCTCACTTAGCTTCACTTTTAAGTTTGAGTCGTCCCCACTTGTATATGATTGATGGCTGGTCATGCCGATGATCAAATGAATAAGCAACTTTTTTCGAGAATTTATTCTCATTTATAACTAGCTTTTTCTTGATTCGCATTTATTACAAAAACTAATTGATTTTTATTTATAGGAGGGAGAGAGAGAAATACTAAAATTTTTTGAAAAGCTTAGAAGATAATCCTAATGTTAAAACTGCGGAATTAGTAACTAAAAATGGACATGCTTTGCGTCTATTTATATGGAGTATTTTTTCTAAGCCACTTATGCCAACACATAGAATAATGCTATAATATAAAAATTTCAGGTTCTAGAAGCTCAAAGAACACTTACTTACAAAAGTATTTCTGTGTCATTATGACATCTTTAGCTGTGCTATGCAGATAATTACTGTAAATCACGAATCGGATATATGAACGAGTTATTGCATTGCTAATTATATGCATTTAAACATAATATTTTTCTAACATGAGTTGTCTATCTTGATTCGTTACCAAAAAAAATATAGAAATGTCTATATCCTATCAAAGAAAACAAACATAAAAAATATACAGAAAAGAATTTTTCAGTAAATTTTGAAAAAAAACCGGATGACAGTATAATAGATCATAAAAGAACGATCTCACACAAAACAAAACAAAAATATTCGTCGTTAGTTTAATTAATGTATACATAACAACGAAAGACTAGATTTATATTTAAAAAAATAGAAAGAGATTTTCATATTGCAATATACATTCTTGATTAATTCTCATCATCACTAGGTGTCAATAGTGAAGATATTTGTTTTGAAATTTCCGAAAATTCTTCTTGATTAATATCTCGTTTACGTGATGTCGCAGAAGGAGTATTTGCTAATTTTGTAGTTGAATATTTTGATGAAACTGATGATGTTGCATCTATTGGACGATAACGTTGAGCAGTTAACAATGTTAATGATGGCATTGGTTCATCAACAGATAATATTGGTGGTTGCGTAGCCATTTGATTAATAATTGTTTTTGCAACAAGTGTTGCACGTCGTTGACGAAGTCGATCCAAATTTGGTGGTGGTACAGCTGGTGATAAAGTATCCTCATCTTCACAACCAGAATTATTTTCATTTGGTGATAATTGTGAAGGTGACATGGCACTATGTCTTCTGACCGATAATAATGATGTTGATGGTGATGGACTTGAACCAGCACAGCGACCACATGATCGAATTATTGTATTAACTTGAACACCTTTATCTGTATTTGTATCACTCTCAGAATTTTTAAATGCTCGAATAATAAGACCAGTGGGTGGCCGAGGTACTGGTTCAGCAATACCGACAGGACGAATAGCTGATGTTAAAATTTGTTCAGATGCATTTGATATTGTACGTGCTGCACGTTGTTGTCGAGAAAGAATAGATTCTGATGTTAAACCTAATATTGGTTGAGAATTATGATTTGTTGTGGCTAATATATCATCTGTGCTCAATTCATGAAAACCTAATTGAAATGAAAAACAAAAAACACAATGAAATTTTTTATCTATTCTTTTGTTTTATTTTTTTTTTAAGATACCCATCTGTCGAAGAAATTCTACAAGATCTCGAAGTAATTTTTTTCCAATATTTTCAAGTGTTATTTGTATTCTTATTTGTACAGCTTTTACGCACAATGAGACAATAGCTAAACCAAATAATAAATAAATGGCTAAAATAAATATTAATTTCATATTATTTTCATGACGTATTGTTGCATTACGATAATAATTTCTTAAATTAATCGTAAATATAGATGTAAAACAGATATAAATGCTGTCAAAAAATGAATTTGATTTAATAAGACATGCACCAATGAGTATATAAATAAGAAGTGTTATTATTAATTGTGGCATTGTTAAATTAGTATCATCATTGATATCTTTTAATGCATCAATAAATATATTATAAACATTTCTAATATGTTTTAGATGAAGATTACCAGATAAACGTCGTTGCCTTAATGATAATCGATTTATTGGTTGATCATTTTCATTAAATTGATTATCAAATGAAGATGCTAATAATTGATTATCTTTTTGTGAAAATAAATCATCTTCATCTGTTGGTAAAGGTATTGAGATATCTAATTGTTTTTCAATAAAACGAAAAAATATCCATTGACGCATCTGAAGAAAATACTTTGTTGAATATGCACGTAATAATAGTAAAGATAAATATTTTATTAAACGTGCTATTAATAAACTTAAATCAGATAAAAATACTAATGTTAACGGAATGCCAATAGCAGCATAAATCATTAAAAATAATTTTCCTATTTTTGTTGTTGGTGTAAAATCATTTGAACCTTAATAAACAAGAACAAAAAAAAGGAACGTTTTAGTTAAATATATATAAATATATTTACCGATGGTTGTTAAAGTTGTTCCAATAAAATATAATGATCCAGCAAAAGTCCAACGTGGATTTTCTTCATTTAATGGAGGTTTTACAACAACAGTTGGTGGTGTTGTTATTATTAATTGATATGTCTTTTTAATTTCTTCTTCATACTCACGAATATGTTTATTGACATATTTCGCATATTGTTGGGCGTCAATTGTTTGTCTTTTGTCTGTTATTTTTGATAAAAGACGTTCTCGTTCTCGGTCAAAGTTTTTTATTGAAACAACGGGTATTGTTGTTGTTTCTAATGTTGGCGAAGAAGTAGTTCGTGGATCATCTGATTCAATTTCTTGAATAATACTGGCGCCAACAAGTGTATAAATTAAGAAAATTAAACAGATCGATATATGGGGAATGAATAGAAGTGACCAGTATCTGATTAGATAATTTTAGAAAAAGAATCACCAGAAGATAAGATATATATATATGTATGCAATATTTCACTTACTTGACTGATAGAACCCACTCGCGAATATTAAACTTCTTCGACATTGATTTAGGTTGTCAAGCAACTGGAAAAAAATCAAGTACATTGCTAGTAAAAAAACACATATACACAGAACGGACGATTCCTTTTTCTTTTCTGTTCTTTTTGTATTCTTTACCTTTGTTAAAAATAAAGAAGAGAGGGAGAGAGAGAGAGCAGGCAAGCGAGACCTGAAAGCAGAAAGTTATCGTCTTAATTTTTTCCGCTAACATGTGTTATTGTATATGTTTGTTTTTGCTTATGCTTTCGTCATAAATAAAAATCCCATGCGTCAAGGAAACAAATCACGCCATAAAAAATATTGGTCAAAGCATGTTTTTACGTTGTTTTGCTTAAATACATAAACAAGCGAGATTTTTTAGCTGTAACTTCTTATATTCACAATGACTTTATGCGTACTGTAAGGTAATAGAAATAATATATTGTAAATTGAGAAAGAAAAGAAAAAAATATTTTTGCATTCAGTCGATTGCGGTGCCATGAAAACGATAAAACTGTTAGTCGCATAAAAATCACTGTTTTTCTTCATTCTGTTTTTTCTTATATGACATACTCGAACATTTTGCTTAGATTTTATTTTTATTATATTTTGCAACCTTGATACATACATTTTAACGTGTGTATAATTTATGAATATCTATTCTTGCTCTAATCAAAGACTCACTATTGAAATTTTCTTTTAGATTCTTCCGTTCAAAATGATAGCCAATTACCTACAGTTAACTACAACCATTGTGTTACTTGTTATTGTGCCTTTACTGTATCTTATTTATTATCGAAAATTTCGTTATTTTATATTTGATCAACGAGCGAAAGTGACAAAAGGAAAAACTTCAAGAGGCAAATGTCCACCATCTTTTCCTAACGGTAAGAAATTTACGACTGTTTATCATCATTAATAGTATGCTATGTACTCAGATATATGTAAATAGAGACGTAAACAAGATCCTGTGTCACCTGTTTCATGTAATGACTGATGGAAAGAATAAGAAAAAAAAGTTCGAATCGAGTCATCGTCAGCCGAGTTGAGGGACGAAGAGAAAAAAGTCAAACAAAGGCATTCTAAGTAGAACATTAAAAAGATAAAAAAAAATCAAATTATTCAAAGGTTATCATACAAGAAAAGAACTATCTATAAATGAATTTGATTTCCACCTATTATGTAAAAAGAAAATAATATTTCGTTGTTTTGTTTTCTATTTAAAGGATGGTTCTGGGTTATAAATTCATGTGATCTTAAACCAGGTCAAGCTAAGCCAATCTCATATTGTGGACGAAATCTTGCTTTATTTCGCGGCACAAATGGTAAACCATATGCTCTTGATGCTTTTTGTCCACATATGGGAGCTCATTTGGGTATAGGTGGTAAGGTGCGTCATGGTACATGTATTGAATGTCCATTTCATGGATGGACATTTGATGGTGAAACAGGTGATTGTCTTTTATCTGGTATTGAAAATAAAATAATTCGTACAGCTGATAAATATGAATATCATGATATTGAAAATTGTACACCAGTACCAAATAATGATAATACGATGAAAGTTTATTTAGAAAAAGTTAGTGAAAAAGAAGAAATCAAAACTAAACGATATATATGTCGAGAAATTAATGGATCTATTGTCATATGGTTTCATTCCGATGAAAAATTAAGAGAACATCCTTTATATGAACCATTTGATCTTTCAAATGAATTAGAAATGAATAAAATGCAAGGTAAAGAAAATAAATGAGATTTATTTTTTTTGAACATTTAATGTATTTAAATTTTTTTAGCACGCGGTGAATCAATTAATTATGTTAATTGTCATACTCAAGAAATTCCTGAGAATGGAGCTGATATACGACATTTTGATTTTTTACATCAATCAATTATTGACATTATATTTCCATTTTTAAAATTTTCTTGGTCGATGATATCGGAACGAGCCACAAATCCACGTTTACATGAAGTAATGGTCCATCCACATCCAGAAGTAAATGCATATAAAATGCGTCTTTTAGATACATTTATTAATGATTCCAATCGTCGTTATATAAATGTTTTATCATTAAATTGTTATCTCCAAATATTTGGTAAACAAAAATTATTTATATTTAATGCAACTGGTTTTCAAGTGGGTCCATCACTTGTTTATTTATTTTTATGGTCACCATATTTTCAAGTAACATTTTTTCAAACAGTAACACCATTAGAAAAATTTAATCAACGTGTTATGCATCGCATTTTTTCAACAAAACCAATTCCATATTGGTTGTCAACATTAATGCTTATGGGTGAAGTTAAACAATTATTTTCTGATATGAATATATGGAATAATAAAATATTTGGTGCAAAATTATCTTATAATATGAAAAATGATGCTGATAAAGGTCTTCATTCATGGAGAAATTGGTATGCACAATTTTATGAAGGATGTCATGAATATGAAAGTAAATCACTTTCATGGTAAAAAAACGATTAACTCTTGCGTTCTGTGATCAAGATTTACAAAAAAAAACAAAACGAAAAAATTTTTAACGATACTTTTTTCAATATTTGTCAGCACAAAAGAAACGATACTGCACATGGTGATTTTTTGTCTTTCCACAAGTTTCGTCATAATGTCATTGCCTGTGATATCTGTCCTAACTCTCATTTGGTTTTATTCTATTTATTTTAAGGTTTCTTTTCTCTGACTATTTTATCGATGATAATAAATATTTATCAAATAAAATCTTTCTTATATTTTATTATTGAAACGTGAGTAAATATAATAAAGAGATAAATATGTATAACTTACAAGAATTAAGTACCATTTGAAACAAATAATTGTCTAGAAAAAAATATCTAGGAATAAAAAGATAACGAACAAAATAACAAGACAAAACTACTTGCAGAAAGAACGTGTCTTCATATGCCTCATGGAAAATGCACGGAAGGAGAAAAAACAATAAATGGTTATATTCGTCTTCTTTTTCTCTCGAGTTTATGCGCATGTTCTATTTTGTTATTTTGTTATGCTAATTGATTCTTTTCTCTTGTGAGAAAGCTAGTAACCCCATGGTTCTGTTTTTTTTTCTTGTCATTTTAATGAGAAAAGCTAGAACATATGTATATTTTTCTATCACAGTTCTATGGCTTTTTAAAAAAAATGTTTTCTTTCATAACAAAACGAGACATGCAACTTAAGTAGATAATCGAAGGCTTCAATATTTATCTGTCAACTATTCAACATAAAGTTGACAGAATATAGTACGTCTAGTTCTCGGATGATATCACTGCCATAACAAACAACAAAAACAAGAAAACAACAACAACGACTTATGATGTTTATCAATTAGGAAAATGAGGAAAAGGCCACCAAGCAAGGTTTTTTCTGCATCGATGAGATCTAGATTCATTATTTACGAGTAAGAATCAGATAAACCGCTTGAAAGAGTTTTCGAACAATAATAAAGAATAATGTTTTTCGCATGTGTTTGTATTTCGAAGTAAATAATGAAAAAAAAAATTTTCTTTTACCTTTTTCCTATTAATATACGCTATAACATTGAATAGCAAATCGATAACAGAACAGTAAGAGATGATTAAAATGAATGCTTAGTATCAGCAATAGACAACATAAATAATAAGAACAAATGCTAGTAAAAGGATATTTTTCTAGCCAATATCGACAACGAATAAGGAAGATCCGCAATGTCGTCAATCGCGTGCTACCAATAAGAATGTCTGAGAAACAATTATGTCTCATCTTTTTTTTTTTTGGTCTTCATCAAGTAAATATCATCAACCAACATCGAAAATGTCTACGTGAGTAAGACCAGAAAAAAAAGAATTATCATGGAAAGAAAATTATATATATAAATATCTATACCAATATTTATTTGAGCAAGAGAATTTAAGGTCATTTGTCGATATACTTATCTCTATTACTTGAAAAAACAGATCTTTTGCATGTAATACGATCCGTATTTTTTGATGCATGATATATAATGGGAGCAAAACTCTCGTGACAGTAAATAATATTTTATGAATCACACAAGTTACAAATATTAATTATTCTTATTAGTACTAGTGGAAGCAGAGTAACACTTTCCATGTTATATAAAAGAAAAGTTTTATGCTATGGTGAAAAGAGTTAATGGAAACCAATCAATAATAACAGTATTTATCGAAATTTCATTATCTTGACTAAATTTAATACTGATTTTATAGGCACATAAAATAAAAGCATAGCACAGCACTTCACTTATGTTTGTAGAATAATATACATCAAGATGTTTCTATTTTCTCTGTTTCAGTAGATAAATACTAAAGTACTATGTGGAATGAGGAGTATTATTTCACTGATACTACTAGCGAGCACTCAAGGGAAATTTTTTCGATTATAATAATGCAACACACTATCAGTTAGATTCTTGCCCTTTTTAATGAAATGCCTTCATCTATTAATAATTGTTTATAAACCTGCTAAACTCATGTACAGCCAATAATTATGCATGTAATATTATTCGTTATTTTTGATATTTATATACGAATGGTATACAAGTGAAGAAACAAAATGATTCTTCTTTGTGGACGCCATAAAAGAAAAAAAACTAATCTGAAAGGCTATATTCTTTGATTGGTACTAGGAATGATTTATTGTTGATCCAATTCCTTTTCTGATTTCAAATGTCAGCAAAATTTGTCCTTTTTACATAGAATATTCGATGTCATTCATACAACACGATACTCAACTATTAATAACTATTGTAAACATGAGATGGTATTGTCAAATTGTTAGTATTCATTTGAAAATTAAACATGTTACATTATTCATTCGATAAATTTAGAAGAACATTTAGACAATGATTATATATCTAAATAGATACTTGACATGATTATGTTTTCTTCTTTATTTTATTTAAGATTTTCAATTAACGAAAATGCATGACACTTCGTATCTCGATTCGATAATTGTTGAGAGGTGAACATGAAAAAAAATGACTTAACATATAAAGCACGCAAGTGAAAACACAACAAAATAAGAACAAGTTAGACTAACTTATTCTTTTCAGTCATCCTTTCATAGAGATATACTCCAGACGAAGACTACAACCCTCATTAATGATCGTATTTTCTAACTTATATAGTACTGCAGTGATGAGGACTTTCACTGTTGGAAGGAGGTTCAAATAGCTGCACTCTGTCAGGTAAAGAGACTTTGGCGGAATTAGGCGGGTGTAGCTTCAATCAGTGGAAGAAGGTGCTCAGCTCCGCTTGTATACTTCACTATTTTCTGTCTCAAGATGGGAAAAGGATGATTTCTCATAATTTCTATATAATTGCTAATAGAGCCGTTTCATAACAATAAGAAGCAGTTAATGAAACTCAAACAAGCATATACACTGCTTTGAAAAATATATCAAATTTGAACTATAAGAAATGCGTTAGGTCCTCATACTACGATTTATAGCTCTACATAAATTCGAAAGTTTTATTTTTTTGTTCAAAAGCTATAAGTCCAACACTGAATGTCAGAAATGCTCAAAACAATGCTGCATGACTATTTTGTTTTGGATATGTTTGATTGAACATACATTTATTAGTGTGTAACATGAAACAATAAAAGTGAAATAGATTTTTTTTATCCATTAGTCATGCCTTCGACAACAGAATCCAAGGCGTTATTATCATTGTTCAATAATTCTTTTTTCCACTTTTTCTGTCAAAGCATTAATTTTTTCAACACTTCCTTAATATCGTATATACCATTTCGGTAAGGTGCATCTGTAGCTATGTTCCAGTTTAATAGTTATTTATGTGCTTGTTGTCAGACATCGTTAATACAAGTGTTGCTAATGCCACTTGGCACATACTGCTTCAAGTCTATTCGTGTCAACTCTAGTTGGCTGAGCAAACAATATTTTATGGGTAAACTACAACAATATTTGGTTTAAGGTCAAAGATAGACATGAAATTAACAAATCACCGTAAAATGTCAACGCTTCATTGTTTTGTTGTTTTATCAATTGCATATCATTGTTTGGGTAAATTCTTTTCAAAAGAATTTCAAGTAGTTCAGTTTTGACATCTTTTTCAGACACATTTATATTATGATCATGGAACTTCTCAATTATAGATTCTTTGTACCGCAATAATTTCATGAGCGTCATATCCTGCTTTCTGCCTGTCATAAATGATAGAGATTATTAAAAGAATTTTATGGTTGAAAATCTATGTGGGTTTCAAGTACGAGAAACATTATAAACTGTAGTAATTGCTTAAACTAATCATATCTCTCGTCCACAGACGGTAGTCTATAGCATATTAACTATATTAATTAGTACGATGATGTAGTTGATAGCAAGAATGCGTCGCTAATAACCCATCGTCAATAATAGGAGTCACAAATAATAGCTTATCTAATTCTTCAACGTTGATTGACAGGCCAATCCTATGGGTCTTATGCTACTTTTCTAAGCGAAAGTTTTTCTTTTTTGATTCGAATCTTCCAGTAAAGTAGAAGGTTCTCTGAAATAGTCTTTGTATGAATAGAAAAAAATTGAATGCCTAAAAGTTTTAATGCGTAGTTGGTTTTTAGGAGCAGCTTAAAATTTTACATGTTTTAACCGAACACATAGTAGCTATTGGAATTTCGGAAGTTATGTATAAAAGCTGAGCGATTTTTCAAGCATGGGGTAGAGTTTTAAACTACAGTTATCGAGAATTTGTCGATTCGATATACCTACGATTTTTGATAGTGTGCTACCTCTTTAAACAGTATAAGCCAAGTAAAAAGTTTCATCCAGAAATATGATACACTTCCCATACGTTTATGCTGAGAAAGAAGTCAACACAAAACGACATTAAATAATGTATTACAATTATTACTGAGTTCGAATATTTTCGAAAATCTTTTGTTTGTTCGTTTGACTCACAATGGAACATTTCAAGATGCCAGAGCCCTCCTCAATCGAGAGTTAGTGCATCTTGTAGACCTTAGTGAACTCTGTCTAAAATAGAAAAAGTTCGTGTTTATGGGCTGTGTCTAAGATGATTGAACTTTTTGAGTGTTACAGCTATAGACAATCACCACGGTTCTTTTTGATCTGTCAAAGAGGTCTGATTTATTTTTCGCAGTGTTGCGTGTAGGCTGCTATTCTGAATTCTCTCCATTCATCTGCTATAGCTGGTGTAGAAACACCTTTTGTTTTCAACATTTTTTCGATTATTACTGTCATAACAATCTAGACAGTCTAGTGTAAGATAATCATTTTGTGAAATGTGGAGAAGTATTGTTGTTTTTGTTTGTTTTCTCGACATATAACGCTCTCAGTGAATGTTGATAACATCAAGATGGAAGCAAAGAATGAATTAGAGTAATAAACTGCAATGATGAAAGCATCTGAAATGATACTATGAAAAAGTACTCAATATTCTAAAAGTTTCAACTATGTACCTTACAGTTCTAAGAAGTGAAATAATTAATAACATATAAAATAATGTTAACATGTCATAAAACGATAATTCTTTCTTTTCAAGATCGTTTGAACTCATACTTTCAGTAGACTTTTAGCAGGACTATAACTACATGTAAGAAAAATTTCAAGTTGTCTCAAGTTACACTGACTGACATGGTGGTTTTTCTGATAACATTGCTATTATAGCTGTAACAATAAAACCTTCAATCTCCTCAGACACAGTCGATAAATATGAACTTTTTATAGTTCACTAAGGTCAACGAGATGCACAAATTCCCAACTGAAAAGTTTCTCAGCATCTGAGAATGTTTCCTTGTCAGAAAACAATTCAGCATAATCAAGAAGCTTTTTTTTGCTTCATTTTGATTACTTCACGTCTTATCTTACGAAAAAAATCACTGTTCGGTAGCTTCTGAGTGTACCATTTATGGCAAACTAACGTTCATGAGCTGATATATAGAAAGGAGAATCGAGGGACACAACAGTGTTCCCAGTTTTTTAATTGGCAAATCTACTCTCTTTATCTGGGAAAACAGCGTACTTTCGTCCTGCAACTCACTCTGAACTACTTTGAGCTGCACTGAACACTTTGAACTGCTTTAAAGTACTTCAAAATTTCTAAGTGTATAACTGCTAACATACATCTTTGATATTAGGCTTCAGATCGTTTTGTTCTTTGTCTACGAAAGAAGAAACACTATGAAGTATAGTATTACACTCGTATTTCAATGATTTATTTAAGACCGTCTCTCAAAAATCGATCTCAGTCCAGAAACGTTCAATTGATATGAAATTTTCAGAATATGTTGAGGTTACACTGGAGAAACTATGATAAAATTTTCAGCCTGATCTCATCATGTTTGAGGAAGATATTGGCCAAACAAGGGTCAAAAATAGGTCATTGGGCAAACCAGATTTCTCTATTCAGGTTCATTCTATATATCGGTTTGAGCGAGAGCAACGCAATGACGTTTTGGCCACAGTTTTATTAACTTTTCTCAACAATTAAGTTGGTCAGAAGGCTTGTTGTATCGTTGGAAGATGTGGCTCTGCCTTTCTCCAAATCTCTGAAAATATGAGCTCGTCTGAATGAATCGTTTGAGAATTCTAGCAAAAATAGATAACGTAACGCGATGACGAAAAAAAGATAAAACGTTAAGGGTAATGTGGTTGTTCTTTATTTTTGTGCGAATGCGTGCTCTCTTAAAAGAAACTTTCCATAGATATTTTGTAGCTGACAGTTCGAGCTATCTAATAGAAAAAAGTTCTTCAAGCAGGCTTCTTATTTTGAAGAGAGATCGGTTTAATTAACGGAATGCGATGACGACTTTGCAACGCAATGATGATAACTTTTATAAGAATTTTTTTTGTATGCTTCCATTTACTATATATATAACTACATAAAGAGGCGATAATATTTTTATTTCAATACCGACAGTGAAAGGTTTTAAATATCGTATTTATTGACCGTCTTTATACGAAGGTCATAAGAAAAAAAAATCAGACTTATGAATGTATTAAACAATTTGTGCGTAAAAGAAGACCCATCGATGCATGATGGGTTTATGTATTTGCTCTCTCTACTCCTGTAGAACATTTTATTCAAAACCAAATATATTACAGAATAGAGCGAAGCATGCTTTATACACTTTGACGTTAAGAAATTGCTCTCCATAGGTGTTTTTGTTTTAGAATATTTTCTGACCTTGGGAAATTTGACTAGTTTTTGGTAAACTAGCAATACGTTGTTATTATGTCTATTAAAGAGTCGTGAATCCTAACCTTACTTAATTGTATTTATACTAATGTCATCGCATGCGTGACAGCTTACAGTATTAAGATTAAGTTTCTTTAGCCGCTACCATCAGTTATCAAGATAATATACGGAATTTTCTTTACATTGTGCTGTTGAATTTTTTTACTTATGTAACATGACGCTTGCATGTTAGTAGATAATTTGTTTATTACCTAACAATTTTTGAATTTCGGATCGTGAGGAGATACTGATTTTTCACTAGAAGCAGTGTAAAAGCATTTGGTCTTGCGTGTCTAGGATAACAATCAAGATGCGGTAGATGGGTACTGAGCAATAAGACAAAATTTTCGAAAATATCTCTCGACGTGATATATGCAAAACATGATGTAGGATCTTGGTAACTAATGAGGACCACTATAAACACTGTTAACTTAGACCAATCAGCTATATTCTAACGACAATTTGTTAATAATCAATAAAAAAAAATCATTATTCATAGCTTACACTGGTTTTTGAATAAAAATCACTGTCTGAAAATGCTCTCTTACAGATATGAAAAACGCAGAAAAAAAGTAAAAACGTCATTGCGTTACGTAACATTATTATAAAATGGGAGGCTCTTCGGATAAAAATACGTGCTTCAGATAGCCAAAAAAAGCTAGCTTTAGGTATATATTTTCTGTAAAGAAAAAGTCGAGAGCAATTGGTGAACAAAAAATAGTACTCATTTTCGTTACTCGATGATATTATACATAGGGTAGTTGGAGTGAAGCTTGCTGCAAAAACGTATGACATATAGAAAATTAACTGTTGTACAAAAAGATACATCTATTATCATAGCCTTAACTAGTCTTAATCAACTTTGTACTTATCGAACTGTTTCGATACATAGGTTAGGTGAACTATGCGTCTAAACAGAGAGATATTCTTTATTCGTTAGTGGCCTCTCTGTCACCAATCGCCAGACGCGTTTTAAAGCACTTATTAGCGAAACAAAATATGTTTTCATACATTTTCGACTATGTTCTGCAAGATGGCAATAATGGTTTTTTAAAATGATGACTTCAAAACACCGACCCTCGAAGTTACACGCACCTTACGCGGTCAAGCCGATATATGTATTTTTTGTTACCTTGAAAGAGTATGTCAAGATGTAGCGCTGTATAGAGTCCTTTTTTAAACTCTTGCTTTTTGCGAGGAGAAACGGATCGAAAGTTACATGACTCAAAAAACTCTCGAATGTGGATTCATTTTGTCTTATTCAATACTCGCACTCACTCACATCCATACCCTAATTCTTCTGATTTTCTATGCCTGTTACTTTTCAGTTTAATACATGAAAATAATCATCTTCTACTTTCTATTGTAGATACAAATCTCTAGCTCCGAAGAATACTCTCTTTTAAAAGATATGGAACGCGTCGGCAAAACAAACAATGCATTTCTTTGTTATTCTTTCATTCAGCATATTCAGTGTAATTAAAAGTGCTTCCACAAGGAATGGATTGCTGAAAAGCAAAAATTGAGAGCAGCAGATTGATTTGCATTATAGGCATGCAGGTCGGTCTGTTTTCAACTGATTTACATATACAATATAATTTTAAGCCTCAAATTATGTGACATAAATTATTTCAATGTGGTCCATATTATCTCAACTCACTTAACGATTTCTATTGACAATAAATTATAGGAATAATGACAATCGAGTACCATTGCAACATCCAGCTACAACACCCCAAAGATGTATATATCAACATCGTGGTGGTGTTCATAGTGGTAATCAACATAATTATGAAAACACAAATAAGAGTTTTCATCGTAAGAACATTTTTAATGAGCGTAATTATTAACAATAGCGCTATTTCAGTGACTATGATATTAATCTTTATGGTATTGTTGGTTGATGACAACCACCACTACAAGGAACGTTTTATCCAATAACAACAAGATGAAATCAAAACCAGTTCAGAGGTCGTTCTAATCGACGAAGAAGTCAAACAAGGCCAAAATGTAGATGTAGTTCAAGACAATTCAGATTGCATGATTATAAGCCGACATAATTACGTGATGATCCATCTTATATGTAAAGCGTCCTCGCAGAATTGAGTTTAGTAAAAGAAATAACAGCTGCAGCAATGAAAATTCCGCCACCTAAGGCATTATCACAATGTCATATTGTTGCAACAGCAGTAACAACAACTGATAATAATACTAAACAACCATTTATAGTTAATCAAACTGATGACAATCAATCACAACAAAGTCGACAACAACTTAACACCACTGCATGATATCAACGTCGAATAAAACAATAGTAATGTCGTTAAAATAGTTTTGTTAACCATAATCAATTTGCTGTACTTGGCAATAAATAGAATAATAATTATGATGATTTCATTGATGTCTAATCAAATTTCGATGATGATAAGCCACTACTAATTAATATGAATAGGCAGAAGAAAAATACTAATACAAGAAAGACTCATCCATATCTTGAACGACATCGTTTGTTAAGATAGTTTGAATGTAATTCAAAAAGTTCAAAAAAAAGTCATTAATGTCCATTTCAGAGATAAATGGCCATGGATATTTTTCGAATAACTTTTGATAGGAATGAGATAGAGAGCTGTGGTTTTCACCGTTGGAAAGAGCAGATGAAAATACATCGAACCATGTATAGAAAGATTTTTCTAACTACTTTCCTGAAGGTTTTAGTCAAACGCTTTCAAAGAATTGCGTTTTTCTCGTACGTTAAAAAAGTGATTTTTCCATCGAAATATCACAAAAAACCTCCTTTTTTCGACTATTTTGTTCAAAAACTGGGTGGTGAATTGCACTCCAATGGCTAGAATATCGTCTTGGTGGTAGTTAGGAATAGAGCCTTTCCATAGTTTTTTGTAGCTCTTCATTTGGCGGTTCTAGCACACTCCTGAAAGTCAATAAATTAATATCGCAATCATGAGAGGCATGCTGTTTTTCTTGAAGTTTTACGTAAAACCTTCAGGAAAGTCGTTTCGAAAAATCTTTCTATATATGGTTCGATGTATTTTCATCTACTCTTTTCAACGGTGAAAATCGCAGCTCTCTATCTCATTCCTATCAAAAGTTATTCGAAAAATACCCACGGCCATATATCTCTGAAATGGACATTAGTAATCGTGGCAATCAAGCATATGTCTTAGCAAAAGCCTCAATTTATGATGAATAGATTAGGAATAATTATGAATTACAAGTCTGGCAAACATATTTAAAGATGGACATAGAACAAAACAATGGAACAGAAGAAGTCATTCAACGCACAAAATAACGTGATGGTATGACCAATAATCGATTTATACAGAATACAATGAATCGATAGATAGGTAATATTGCTCAAGCAAGTGGTACCATCTCTGACTTGCAACCCCGGTGGACAGCTTAATGGACGCAAACTACAGCATAAAGATCAGCTCAGACAACATCTGATCTAACAGCATAAGTAAGACTTGATAGACAGGTCAAACAACAGTAGCAGCACAAACAGAAAATTCTGCAGCATCAACTACAGCGATGACAACTCATACTGAAAAGTTTGCTCGTAATTTTTTTGATTGTTTAGGAAAATATGTTTAAAAAATATTGAACGTTATACTCAACTAAAGAGTGAAACAACAGAAGCCAATCCTTTGAAGTTTCTTGGAGTTCTTTCCAGTCTCTCAGTCTCTTAGAAATCCTTCGAATTCCTCGGAGTTCCGTGGAGTTTTTCAAAGTTTTATGAAATCTAGGATGGCTCTAAAAAATTCATCATAAAAGGCTAAAACTATTGCGTCTTGATGTTTCTATTGATCGTGATATCAAAAGGAATCGATAGTAACCCTAGTTTTCAGACGACCATACACTATTCTTCATTTATCTGTGTGCAGAATAGTCATTGGTTCTATACTTGTTAATTAAACAAAATACCATTTATTGAAAAAGAAAAGTAAACAAAAATATAAAATAAAGAAAGACACATTCATTTATTCATTTGTATTAGTCACAATTACTCGAAGTAATCTGTCATTTGAAAATTTTCTTTTCTTGCCTAATATACAAGCAAGCCAACAGCTTATCTTAATATATCTTTTATCATAGTTAAGTGCAACTTTAAGACAAGAATACTGCATGTAATGTTCGATCGTATCGAAGACTTTTACTCTAAAAAATACTTTTTTGTGAAACTAGTGAACTCTCAAGTAGCATCTTATGCGTCTTCCTCAATGTGATCGTTGTTCCAGGAACAACTATCATTATTGTCAACATGATTGTTAAAATTATTTATTGCTTCATCGTCATCATCATGCACAGATTTTTCCAAATCTTCATCGTTCATATTGACTACTTGACATGAGTAGTTGTACATATTTAACTTTGCATTTATTTATTCAAACATGAATTCACTTAATGGCTCTAAACTAAGAACACGTTGTTTGTTGTAATAAACTCAATATTTCTAACCCATCAAGCATATTAATAGCTTTATCATACGCATCAGTAATAACTTATTCAATATATATTTGATCGATCTAATTTTGAGTTTGTGAAGATGATGATGAGCGATGATTTCGATGCTTGTAATGAACCGGAAAGATCAAATTGTGAACTGAATCATCGTGTAACTGTTCACATTTAATATCATTCTATAATGAGTGTTTCTGAAAATTGATTGACAAGCTTACAAACCGAAAATATAAATATTCAATGCATATGGTGACAACTATTTCTATTTGAGAAGTAAAATGAAATATAATAATTCATGTGCATTCATACGTGGTCAGATATATGTTGGCTTAGTAATAAAATATTTGCTTTCATTATTTTCTGTTGTTTACGTCAGTATTATACAGGGCTGCCCCGACCTTTCAAACTTTGGAAGGGTGTAAAAAATTTGGGAGAGGAGGGAGTATGGTGCAAAAAATTCGAGGGAGGATGGTGTAAATTGTTTTTTTATTCAAAAAGTGTTCCACTTTAACCAAAAAAACAGAGAAATTTTGATTTTTTGGTAGATGTAACATCCCTAACATCCTCCCAGTCGGGGCAGTTCTGATATTATGACCGATAACGATAAACGACCATGTCAAGCTAATCCGTTGTAGGACTTCTTGTCGGCTGTTATATACAAGTTTTTCCTTCTTTTTTCACAAATCAATCACTTTTCACTGATACATTGAAGACTATTTCTGTAGTGGTGCAACACATCAGAATTTTCTATTAAATGAAAATTCATTGTAGTACACTGAATATATTGTATCAGTTCACATTGGTATTAAGTTATGCTACAGAAAAAAAATCGAATAATTAGATGGCGTTGTAATTATCATAAATTTATTTGTATTTTCTACCCTATAGAGCATATACTTCGCACAGATATAAGAAATAATGGAGAGAATATCAGGACTCTTACGCCATCATTATGGTGATTAAGTTGTGAACGTGACTAAGTGAGAATTTGACTTAACTTTTTTATCGTCTGAAAAGTGAAGAATAACTCATCTAAGTCTGTCGAGGAGTCTGATCCAATATCATCGATACTAGGAGCGGCATGGAGAAAACACTACTGGTTGCAACTTTGGTTTGTTTTTATTGAATGTTTTAACTTTGATCCATGTGAACCATAATCTACATAAAAAAAACCGCATACGAAGTAGAACCTAATTATATACCATCATCGATTAAAATATCAACAGATGGTCACGACTGTCTCGAAAAACAATTATCATCATGAGTAAAGATGACACATTTAAAAAAATATTAATGTAACAGACTCCTTACTTGATACGAGAAAAGCAGCAAAAAATCGAGAATACAATAAGATATACCTGAAAAACATTGTCATATTTCGTGCTTCTCGTGTTGCTTCTTTGATCCTAACTCACCAGAAGACATCTTTTTATTAGCAACTTGATGGTATTTTTAGGAAACGAATCCGCTTATCCTTTTCTGAAATACTTAAAATCTTGACTAATAACCAGTTTTTATATTTTTGTTTTCGTTTACTTTTTTTTTTACATTATACCGTTGCTTATTAACCAAATGTATGAGATGTTGCTAGTAATAAAATAACTCTTCTTCCCTCGAGCACAATATTATTAAATTACGTATGCATTCGTTGTGAGAATATCCGCATCACTTTTGATTGATATCATAGACGTTTTTTGTCCTTAACAAAGATTTCGAGAAGAAAAAATTTGTATAATAATAGGGACTCCAAAATCACAGAATAAATTTGAGTTTGTTGAAGTCGCAGAGTTCCAGCATTAGCTGTTTTTTACCTTGAATATTGTTATAATGAATGAGTACAGCAGTAAGAAAAACAAATAGATTGCAGAAAGAAAAAACCTTTGAAATAGTATATAATTTTTTATCTATTATTTTATAGCTTAATCATCCAATACCTATTTCCGATTCTGACTTTGCTTACTGTAGACAATATTTATGGACGAAAGAAAACCAATAATGATAAATTCATCGATGAATTGGCTTCTCTTCACTTGATTTAAAAAATAACTTTTGTCTTCATCCAACTTGATTTTCATATAATACATGGATGGCTGTTAGTAGATAGTGATCAACTAGTGAACTCAAGAATGAACTTATTCACAACTATATAATTGTTTAACAGCTTACTTCTATTTTAGTTACATCTTTTATATATTTCTGAAAAATAAATTTTAGGACAACAAATGAAATGATTGTTCTGTCATTGACTTTATTCCTACTTTTCAATGTCTTCACATTACCCGATCTTATATTGGTCTGATAATTGATAATATCTCATAATTTTATTTGAAACAAAACTTTCTTCATGACTCTGATACTATTTATTATCATAATATAGTATGAATCAATTTCTGAAATGTCAAAGCACTCTATTTTAAAGCCAAGTAAGTATGTAATATTTCAATTCTTATAGTTTAACATAGAATTTCGTTTTTCTTCTACATCATCAATATATGAACAATAGTGTGTCTAATTATGGATTCATCTTTCTATTGTACAATGTTAATTATTGATTACCAATAGAGTGGAATGGGATAGATTTGCTCCATGTACCGCAGATTCTTTTACTATATCATAGTTTATGACAAGATAACTGAGTATATATCTAAATGATGATGAAGTGTAAAAACTTGCGTAGAACAATGCATAATTATAAGTCTTAACTCTTATTTTTTTTATTTATTGAATATAAATTCTTTAAGTATGTCTTTTTATGCCAAGTATGAAGTAATCAATAATAAATACTTTTTCTGTTATAAATATGCGCTGCTTTTTTTTTTGGCACACTTAGTATTTTGCTTGAACTCATTGATATGGTAATTATTGAATTAAAAATGCTAAGGATTCTTTACAAAAATGCATACAAGAAGTATTGTGCAATCGCAAATAAATGAATGTAAAATGTGATGAACTTCGTTGAAATTCATTAAAGCAACCATTCGAGTTTTTACTTTGATATATAGATTATAAAAATAAGTAATGATACTTTGTTGCTTCAGTTCATAAAATGATCGAAAGCTTATATTTCCTTATTTAGTTTGCAATGGATATGGATAAATACGATTTATATACTAGATGGTAGCTGTGGTTTGAATTTAATCGAATTTTTCGAACAGGTGCTCTCGTATCAATTGACGAAAGAAAAACAACGCAATACCCTTTTGAAATTATTTATATTCACGATGAAAAACATATCACGTCTACAAATGCCAAAACATTCCTTTGTTTGATATAACAATCATTACCAATTTTTTTAATAGGTTTTTTCAATGATAATTGATTTGTTAATATGACTGATAGAGAAAAGGTCAATATTGAAATAGTAGAAACATGATTGCATCATGCTTGTATATACATATGTATGAAAGTTAATGATGAATATATTTCACTTACTGATAAGTTAATGTATAAATGTGTAAAATGCAAAATGTTCGAACTTTTACTGTGAGAATCTGATAAAAAAATAAATCGAATTTTGTATTTTGTCTATGCATGAAATATAAGTTAACAGATATTTTTTTCCTGCACTGACCTAATTCTCAATGTGTCAGAGATTTTTAATCTATCAAATTTTGATCAGCAATGATCTGGATCAAATCTGAAATGTGAATGCGTACAGAAGGTTATAAAACGAAACACAGGTGAAATCAGAGGAGAAATAAGAGAAAAAGAATCACAGATAAATATCCTTGTGTATATTGACATCGTCAACAATGTTTTTTTCTTTCGATGATCAGATTATCAAACCTTTTTGTTCGATGAATATGATCAAATGATTTCTTTTTCTTATTTGTCTACGCATCTTTTTTTCTGACATAAGGACGAAAGTTCTCTCTTCTCACTTTTTTTTTTCTTTTTTTTCGTGTTGTCGACGAAAAGGAAAGAATGGACTAGCACGAAAAAGAGGGCCGAAAAAGAACGTGAATAGTAAGAACGAAGAACAGGTAGTTTAGCTGTAGTGAAGACTTCATTTATCGCTGTTGCCAACACGACTACAAACATTCTACTGCTGTTCTGTGGTGAGGTACGTGTTTATATACTGCAGCTCGATCAAATATAATAAAATCTACTTATTGGCTGTGTAAAAAAGTTTGATTTTTACGAATAAATACGAACATATCATCAATATTTAACATTAGACCTACTGTACGAAAAAAAATTAGAAGAATACAACAAGATAATGTTGGCACGAAGGTAGGCAAGTGCAGTCAGAAAGAAAAAATATGACAAATTGAGAAGGAATAATAAAAAAACAATTTTTTTTCTTTTTATACATAAACTTGATTGATGAATGAAAAATGATAATGAAAAAAAAGTTTTGTCAATTTCGTAGAGTACGAGAATGACAAGAATATTTGCAAAAAAACCATTAATTATTATTATTTGTCTAAATACGAAAACAAATCACATCGCAAATTTGATTCGCAAATGTTTTTCATAAAGTCAATATTTCATTTCTAAAAAAAAGCTTAATGTCTTATTGAGTACTTAACTTTTGTCTATCTCATTTATTATTTCGGTTAGAGACTTTTCAAGTGATGACAGTTGAATTATAATTAACTACTAATGTAGACGCGAAACTGGCACATATTCGGTTAAATATTGAATAAATTGAGAATGCAAGCGACTAATGATCTACGATGTTTTGCAATCGAAAGAAAAATAATGGAAACGTTTTTTTTACCACGATACTAAACAAAATAAAATCAATGATATTTGCAAAACATTTTAAAAAACGTTCGAAAACGATCAGCCATACTGATGAGATTTTAATTTTGATATGTCACTTAAAGAGATGGACATGAGATCGGTAGTTCAAAAAACAATCTCAATGACTATCTCTTCACATGCTAATGCTGAACAAATAAAATTGTATTTCGGTTCGATTAAATAGTGTGACATTTTGTTGTTTTTGAAGTAAGTATTTTTAGTGGTTATCAAAACTTCATAGGAATGGCAGACTATCTTCATACACTTTTTTGAATATTCTTCGAAAATCATTGATATCAAAATGATTTCATCTTATAATATTATCAATAAATTTTTTTATCGAATACTTTTAAGTCTCGCGCCAAACGAACTCTCTGTTTTCAGATGTTGAACCGCTTTATAAGCCACAGCAATAAAAAAAGTCTTTTTTCTCGTTTCATAGAACAAAAAACAAATTGACATAATTCTATCAAATAATATTTCTTTTTTTTCTCTAATACAGATTTTCACCGTTAACATATTATTGTGATATTTATCATAAAGATGTTTATTGACAATACGAAGAATACGGATGTTAGAAAAGCGTAGAAGCAGCAGTTCGGTGTTTAATATTCCTGCGAAACTACCAAAAAAAGAAAGTATACTTGATAAAAAAATACATTTTTTTGGTACACAGTTAACTGTTGGTATTGTTATTGGTGTTTTTCTTGCATTAATTACAATTGGGCTACAATGTATTGCTTTTTTTACACCACATTGGAAAGAAGTTTCTCCCATTACTCATTCATTATATGTTGATGGTGTTGATGCTCTTATTCGTACTGAAATTCTAATATATTTTAATTCTGTTCACCGTTTTACTCGTCATTCTTATGGTTTATTTCAACGTTGTGAATATCTTTTAGATAATGCAACAAAATTACTTATTGGACACAATGAAATTCTTCACTTGGGTTTAAATAAACAACATAAAACATGTACAAAAAATTTTATACCATCCTATGAAGATAAAAATTTTAATGAATGTCATAGTTTACAATATTATCGGTTTTGTTCAAAAACAGGTGAAAAAAATTTTGATATTAGTAATGATTATCTTCGAGCAACATTTGATATTTCATTAAATTCACATTTAAATATTAACTCAATATCTTCATGTGATTGTCATTATCCAACGTATATTAAAGCATGTCATGTACTTGGAGTAATTGCATTAATTAGTTTGTCTTTAACTGCTTTACTTTATGGTTTATTTCCATTTCTTAAAAATCGTCATCAACGTTTACAAGTTAAATGTTTTGGTGTATTATCATCATTATTTGCAATGATATTTATTTTAAGTAATCTACTAACTGCATTGAATCATTTGCAATATGAATCAACTGAATATTTAACTTCTATTGAAAGACATTATAAATCAAGTCAAATTTATAAATTATCAGAAGATGCAAAAGTATCTATTAATCGATTTCTATCAAGTATTAACATTGAAATTGGTTATTCAACTATAATTGCGTGGATTGCTTTTATTTTATCAATTATTGATGGAATATTATTAATGACTACATGTAAAGTAACACATTATCCTGAAGATATAGCAACTCTTTTTAGTGGTATTCCTTCGGATTCACCACGACAAATTTCAACGGTCGGGAATGAAGAATATAAAACGTTGGCCACTCCACTTACCTTCTCACCACATGCGACTGATTCTCAAGTTCTTCAACGTCCTCCTGATTCTTGTCCTTCTCCTCCTCGATCGCCACCAGCAATTGTAAAGACTAATACTAATGAACAATCGAAAGTACACTCATCTTCTCCGTCTTCATGTTTAAAACAATATCATTCACCACGAATCCACTTTGAAGACGAAGTGTGACTTTTTTCTTTATTCTCATAAGACTCTTCGTAATTATTCTAAGATCTATTCAGAAAAAAAAAACAATATGTGGTCTTTTGTTTTTCTCAGATATGCACAGTAGGAAACACATAGAGATAGTGATTTATATATTGTTTTCAAATTGCGGAACATATCAATATTAGAAGTATGTGTATTATTAACAAAAACGGAAATTATTTAAATTTTTCTTTTTTTTTCTTCTATTTTGACTTTTTTATCATGCTGTCTTTGATTTTTATTTCCATTATTTTGATCAATTTTTTTAATCAAATCTGTAACGTTTGTCAAAACGATATCGTTTGTTGATAACATCGAAATTCGATCGTTTTTTGTCATATCGATAACGTTTATCAAAACGATATCGCTTATTCAATAATAGGGCATAATCATCGTTGTTGTCATGATCATTGGATTCATTACTATCGATTGATGTTGTTGTATCTTTCTTGTCAAATCGATAACGTTTGTGTAATTCAAGAGAATTGGAATCCATATTTACTGCTGAATTTTCTGTGCAAACAAATAATAGTTGACTGCCAATCTATGATGAAAGAAAACACAAACTAATATAGAAATATGCAGGAAGTAACAACACAATACCGTTTTCAAACGGAAACTAGTACAATGCATAAAAAAGCAATGAGTTGGAAGCATCCGTCCTGTCGGTCTTTTCTATTATTTATCGATATATCAACTAAATTGACACGCGTGAAATTTAGAAATAGTGCATTGAAGCTCAAAAAAAAATCTAATGGAAAAGAAAATTTGTGATCATAAGAGTTACAAACTGCAAATCATTTTGTTGTTTTCAACTCAATTTATTTTAATGATTTGAACCAAAATCAATAGAATTTTTTTTTTCTATACCAAATATTATAATTTATTACTTACAATAATGATTGCAAAGAGAAAGAAAAAATTGTTATGGACAAGTTTCATGTTTTTAATAATTCAAAGACTTGGATAATGTTAAGAATAAGATTGTCGTTGTAGTTTGATTAGTAGTTGTTGATCGTTTGTATCGTTCTTCGTTGTTTTATTGTTTTGAATGTCAAACACCACAAAAATAAAATGAGAAAAACGACACACAAATATATATAAAGCGAGAGAAAATAGCATTTCCGGATCTTTTTGTGTCTTTCTGATTAGTTTCTCTGTATTCTCTCTCTTTCTTTCTTTCTCTCTTTGCTCGTAGTCTGTAAAGTATCTCGAAAGAAAGAAATGCAACTGGGGTGGCGAAGAAAAGGAGCTTCCGTTTGTTTGAAACGCATTCTATGACACAGTTTGTCAACAAAATCATAAAATGATTAGTTATTTAACTTCATATTCGAAGATCGTGCTTGAAACTTGTCACGTCTCATTAAGCGATGCCTTCTTTTTTAATATATTCTCTATATTTTCGAATGAAAATCGTCTAAAATGACAGAAGAAAGAAAAAGAAAACTACTTAAACAACCCATTTATATAATTTATTATCTAAACTGGCTCAAAGCAAATAGAAATATGTCACGAAATATTCGAATTATTAAATCAATCATTAATTGATTTCTTTTTTGACTGAATTAAATCTTGATATATACTTGACTATGGCAACTTTTCCTATTTATCTGATTCACTTCCTACTAGTGTTTTTTCCCTTTATCGTTTACAAAACAATGAGTTCGTTATAAATAATTAAATTCCATCATACAATATAAGCACAAGGTTATTTCTTCATCATTGGTTCTCTTTATTAATAAACATATTGACATCAGTGATAAAAATATCAACAAAATATGAATACAATAAAATGCTAGTTTCATTAGTGTTTTTTTTTCATTTAAATGTTTTTAAGAAAAAGAGCTGCACCACATTGTAGCCATTTGTCTTTATCGCTACTACATGGAACATTTAGACGTGTTACGATTTTATCACGAGTTGCATTAAAATAAACTGGTAATGATATTGTTTCACGTGTTTCTTGTTGGCCAGCATCCTATAATAAAAAATTTATCAATAATATAAATATTTTTCAACAGAAACAAAAATTTACTTGTGGTATCCAAGCAATATAACATGATGGAAATGCTGTAACACTTGGTGAATCAGGTGCACTTTCACTTAAACGTCCATTATCAAATGAACAACCTTCTAATTGTAAACCACCGATTTTAATTGATACATTTTTTCCATGTTTAACTTCACCAGACCAAGACGTACTTAATAGTAAGGTATCCATAGGTTGTTTAGTTTCTCGTGCTGTTTGTTGTCTTAATGCATTTAAAAATGTATCAGGACGAAATAGATCAGATAAATTAATTGTTTGAGAAAATATATCACGATCTTTTATTGATGTTGCTATTTGTTGCATTGCTTTAGCTTTTGATACAACAGCACGTAAATATTGCATAGAATCTGTTGGACCTTCCCAACGATCTTGCCATGTTTGAGGAGTCTAAGCAATAAGTTTATTATCAATAAAATTATTTATTAGAAAAATGAAACGAAGAGAAGTATCTAGAAAATCAATGTACTAATTGTTCAGAAAGTCGTATACTAGATAAAAATTTTTCTATATGTTCGTCATATTTTGATCTCATGAGCTAACTTTTTTCTTGATAGTAAAATGTAATGTCAAGTGTTTCTTTCATAAGCAAAAAAAATTTAGTACGATCACTTAAAACTATTAGTATCGAGTTGACGATTTCCGCCAAAAATAAAACGATAGATTTTTGGTTTTTTTTTGCAATATTATTCAATTTGCTCAATGTTTTTAAATTTTTTCAATTTGTTAAATAATTTATTTGCGATACTTGATTTTTACGTAGTCTATTTAACTTCTCCGATGCTTCACAAATTTCTTTTCGATGTTTTTATACAGAAAATTGCTCAAGAAGCCGGACAACTATGATTAATTTTGGATACTAGTTATTCTCCAACAGTCGAAGATGAGTGAGGTACTCACCCAAATCGTTTGAAAAATCTTGGGATTATTTTCCGTTAAAGGATATGGCTCTAATTTAAATATTAGTGCTGTTTAGGCTATACAGTAGCAAACTCATCAAGAATTTTTCTATGTGGAAAAGTAACATATGGCTAGTCAAAACAAGATAACTGCAAGAAAAAGTCAATTAAAGTCATTACATCTAAAAAGACACGACGATGTATTTTATGTTGAAAAGTCTCCGTTGAATACGTCAGTTTGTCATCAGAACATTTTTGAATAGAACTATATTTCAATAAGAGTCATATTTACTAGCTGAAAATAATTACATAAGACTTTTGTAAATGACTTGAGTACATGACTTATCCATTTCTGTCATGGGTAATCACTTATAAAAACACAAAAGTATTGAAAATTTTTTTGACATATGCCATTTTCGAGTGCTTTTTGTACTGATCATTATCAAAAAAAAAATATTTCTATTTTGATTAACAAATAACGACATTAAAACCAAATTAATTGAAAACATCGAATCGCCTCAGGAATCTCAACATTTCTTTTACGAAAACGATCAGTGAGAAAAGCTTTACAAAATGGAATATGTTAAATAAAACATTGGATGTCAATATAGTTTTTGTGGTTGACTGCTCATGGAAGTAACGAGACAAAAACAACGACTAATTTCTGTTTTGAAGTAGATCGCGCTTGGTTTCAAGCGTACCTAAAAGCTGCTGATTTATGAATAAAGATTCGGATTTTTTTTCTATGCTCAAGAATAAAATTAGCTTATTTAGTTGAAAATGCGTGGGATATATATAACGAATATTTTTAGTAGATGACTTTCCGGATGCCCTATAGAAAAAAAAAATATTTTACTTTAATTTATTAAAGTCATTATGTTTCATTTGTTTGAATATGTAAACAAAATATTGTATTATATTAAAAGCTGGTGAACGATACTTTATTTACGGTAGACCGCTCAAATAGGAAGTCCATTATTTTACGTTCTAGTCAAAAGAAAGTTTTAGCAAGAATGTTGAATATGTTGAGTGTAAACGGTTATTTCAATGGAAGAAAAAAACTATGTCAGCGTAGCTCCTTCGGGACCAATATGTGGAAACACATATGTTTTTCAGCTCCATTATACTCATACAAAATACGCCAAGTGAAAAATCTCTAGTAAATTATAGTTGTTTTTCAAAGATAATCGGTCGCCAGAGAAATGATCTATATTATTTATTTCTGCGATTCGAATTAGAATCTTTTTTTTTCTTTTACGGACGCTCGATTTTTTTGTTTGTCTTGTATTTATTCGCTCATTGTTTTTCATTTCCATACTCTGGTTTTTTTTTTAAAATTTAACGTTATTATTATTCGAACCCTTAGTTTAACTAATAAATAAGCCTGTTCTATATATTCATTATATACCTCGATAAACTTCGACAACACTGATATTGATTATTCCCCGAAGTTATAACTTGATTAGTTCATGCTTTTTTTATGTTGATTATATGACGACTGCTGTCAATCAATACATCACTTCGTATCGTTCTTAAAATCTCCAATATATATTTTTATCTGCGCAAAAAACTGAAACTACACTATTTAGAACATTCATGAATGGATTTCAGTAATTGGAATTTCAACGAAAGCTTTAAAATGTTCTAGAACAATCTAAATCTTGTTATTAATGCTGTTCAACACCATTTTCTGTTACTAAGATGTCTAACGACTTTTATGAAAAACTAACTTATGAATATTGCTCTTCTCACTCCTTTCTGTTGCTAGGGAAGATATACTCATTGCTTTCTAAACTTCGACTTCGGTTGCTAGACCCTGAGAGTAGTCACAAAACTTCGATTAAACTTATACTCACTATTTTCGTCGAAAATATATGTGAATTTTCTTCTCCATGTATTCAATTACTCTCTCATATCGTTCGTCATTATCTGTAAATGAATTTTCACTAGAAACGAATTCTCTTAATAAAACAAGATCATGTTTCCACTTTTATGACTTGTTTTCAAGTACAATAAATTGTTCAATCATGATTGAA